AAGGGAACCCTCATATACTTTTGGTGGGAATGCAGATTGGTGCAGCCGCTATGGGAGGCAGTGTGGAGATTCCTCAGAAAATTAAGAATAGAATTACCATATGACCCAGCAATCCCTCTCCTGAGTATCTAGCCCCAAAGTCTGAAAATATTTATCTGTAAGGATATATGTGCTCTAATGTTCATTGCAGCTTTATTTATGTTGGCAAAGATAAATAATTCAAGTTTACACACCTTGTAAGATATTTTGGGCATCAAACCCAGGTCTGCATGCCTGATCAGAAAAAAATCTAATGGGATTTTGTGGGGAATAACACAGGAAGTAAAGAAATGAACATGAGGGTAAAGAAACAATGCTTTTAGAGGAAGAAAAAACAGGGTATCAGAGTCCTGGGGCCACTGGGAAAAGCAAGCATTTCAGGGTGGAAATGTTGATTTCCAATGCAGAAGAGAGATAAGTAAAATGGAGACTGAAAAAGAGATAGAAGAAAATAAAAAATGAAAAAGAAAAAACAACATAAGAACAGTAACATAGAAAAGAAAGTCAACAGAAATGATTGTGTCACAAACTAATGACTCCATTTCATTATCAACACACTATTGGCAAAACTCCTTTCCCAGAAGTAAGTCAGCAATGATTTCCTAATTGCCAAATCCAATAGTTACCGTAAGTCCCTGTCTATTGACACTTACCAAAACTCTCTCTTCCTTTGGATTTCTGGTTTTCCTCCTGCTTCTTGATCTTTTGTTTTTAATGTCCTTTACTTATTCTTCTTATTTCCTCTTTATATCCTCAGCTGTTGAAATGCTATCATTTCTTATATCCTCAGCTCTTCTTCTCCTTTAACCTCTCCTAGATAATCTGATTCCTGCCATAATTTCAGCCACCATCTATCTACATGCTGGTGACTCCCAGATTGGTATTTCTGGCTATGCTCTCTCCTGTAAGTATGAGACCATATATCCAGGGGCTTTCCAGACCTTTCTCTTTAGGTTTCCCACAGGCACATACAATTCAATATATATGCCAAACAAAACTCATTGTTTTGGTCTGTCCTTGCCAACCTTGCTAGCATCAACTTCCTTAGAGAACAGTTTGTCCTGCCTTTCTTATATTGGTCAGTGATACTCCTGTCTGCTTCTCTGTTCCAGTAGGACACCTGAGCATCATTCTCAATCTTTCTTTCTCTCTCAACGTACATATAGAATCTGTTATGAAGCCCTACTCTATTGACTCCCACCTAACTTTTCTGTCACCCTTATTCTCTACGCTTGTTGACACTGCCTCAAATTGGGACCACCTGTCTGAGACTATCCCAGGGGCTGTGTGCCTGGTTTCTTTGACTCCCAGTCAGCTTAGTCCAAATTATGCTCAACTTTCTTTAATAGCATTCTTTCTAAAACTCAAATGTTTTTATTTTGTGCTCCCCCTACGACTCCTAGAAAACCTTTCCTTATTACCTGCTACTTAAAGCATAGGTCTAAATTCTTAATATGCCTCTTGATAACTTAACCTCTGCCTACCCTTTCAGCTTTATCCTGGTCTACCAAGTTCTTAGAGTATATACAAACAAGGAAAGAAAAGCATGGATACACACAAACAGAAGAGTTTACGATTAAAGTTTCACTTATAAATCTAAATGGTTTACCAAAGGAATGAAATATTTGCTTTACTTTAAGGTTGTAGACAAGTACAAATTGATAATGAAAGTGCAAGACATGGATGGTCAATTTTTTGGATTGATTGGTACATCAACTTGCCTTATAACAGTAAAAGATTCAAATGACCATGCACCTTCTTTCAGACAAAATGCTGTAAGTATATAATACCAAAATCTATCTCTGTTGATTGTCATTTGTCACTTAATCTGAATTAGTAAACATTTATCATACTTTGATAGTATGATATCTATAAATGTATCAAAGTTTATTTTATGAATAAAATTAAGTAGTAGACATATAAATCTGTTTTGTTTATTCATAGTAGTATTTATATTACCACTTTCTTTTTAAAGGCCAGTAACATTAGTCTACATTTATAATGAAGTTCTTCTTTCATTTAAAAGATAACCCTTCATGAAACAATACTATTTATGATTCATGGTTTTAAAATAATTTAGGCAAAAACTATAAGGACAAGTGCTTTTGGAGTGGAAGAAATGTTTTCCTCTCCTTGTAAAAGTTCTCTTTATAAAGTAAGTGTTTAATGCATTCTTCCTGTTTCAGTATGAAGCATCAGTGGATGAAAATGCCTTCAATGTGGAAATCTTACGAATACCTATTGAAGATAAGGATTTAATTAACACTGCCAATTGGAGAGCCAATTTTACCATTTTAAAGGGCAATGAAAATGGACATTTCAAGATCAGTACAGACAAAGACACAAATGAAGGCATACTGTGTGTTGTAAAGGTACAGTAATAATGAATAATTGACAACTTGGCAAGTTAACACGTTTTAATAAACTAATGGTTTAATCAACTAAACAGCTTCCTAGATCCTACAAGTTGCAAGAGAGCTTGGTCTCTTTAGTCCAGCTGTTCCCATCTAATACCCGCCTTTCTGTTATCATTTTTTTTCCAGTTATAGTCACCTAATTTATGCTTGAACATTCTCAGTTATAAGGATCTCCATATCTCCATTCGCAGCATGTTCAATATTTAGAGAGCTCTGATTCTCAGAAGTTCTCACTTCTACTGTGCCTCCTCCTCCTCCTCCTCCTCCTCCTCCTCCTCCTCCTCCCCTCCTCTTCCTCTGGAGGTTTTTCTGCCAGTAACAATACGGTGGAGACATTGGTACATAAACATTTCTATTTGTAGTTATTTCCTCTGTAAGAATTTCCAGAGATTATGTCCTAAGGCTTGGCAAGTTCTGTCCAGGTGTGAATAGTCAAGTATATTTGTTCCAGATGACCCTCAACATCAAACCTCTTCCTATTTCAATTTTCTATAACATGATCTGCTCAAATTGAATACTTAAAAGAAAAAAATGAAGTTTTATAACTGAGAGAAACAGGAGAGGAAATAAGGAAATGGTACTAATATTTTTTCTTCCTTATTNTGTGTGTGTCTATGTGTTGTCTCAGGTCAGCCTTACATATAATGCTATAGGCAAAGTAGATCTATGCATTACATTTTCATGGGCATTGGAACACTATTCTTACATTGTATATACACTACCTGTATGTATTTGATACTGGAAATCCTTTACCAGGGCAATGGACTCACATTCCATACAGGTGACAAATATTAATAGCTCTAACTGAAGAAACAGTTGACTTAAATTCTCCCCAGATGGTGAATATAATAAAATCCCTTTGTGAAGAAACAGTGGGGCTGAGGGAAGAGGGGCTGTGGATACTAAGCTGGTGGAAAAGCACAAGACAAATCAGAGACTACCAAAAAATAAAAACATCATAGATAGGAGATTGGGTTGTGAAAGGTCAACTTGACCATATATGCAATTATATCCCAAAGCAGTTTTGATTTAGCTATTAATCAAAAGTTTAATTTTAAAAAATCTGATTTACACAGGAGACATGGTTTATCTCACCAGCTAGGTTTGTTGTTGCAATTATGTAGAAATATATGTTGAAATTATTCTTGAATGCCATTTAAATACATTTTTAGTAATTTACTATCAAACATTTTGAACTGTGTGCCAAGTAAAAATATACCTTGATTCTCAGTATCATCATGTTTTATATTATAAATTTGAAATCATCTTCATCAGTGTTTTCTAAAGATGGAATACTGCCAGTAAGAAATACATTTTAAAATAGGTTTCCACCATCATTGTTAAAATTTGAGAAGTGTAGATACTCCTAAACATATTGAATAATTCTGGAAATTAAAGACTCTTTTTTTAAACATGTAGGTGCTACAGTGGGAGTAGTTTGTGCCACGGACAGAGATGAACCAGATACAATGCATACGCGCCTGAGGTACAGCATTTTGGAGCAGACACCAAGATCACCTGGGCTCTTTTCCGTGCATCCCAGCACAGGAACCATCACCATGGTCTCTCAATACTTGGACAGAGAGGTAGCTTTCACACTCTGTAGAAGATCATTTTTCTGGAGTTTGAGGCTCCCCTTTCTCCTCTAATTACTGTAATTTGCTATTTTTTTTGGATTAGGAGTTTCTAATTTTATTTTATTTGGGCATAGCATAATAAGAACCCCTGACCACGTTACCTGTTTGTTTGTTTTTTTATTACTTCTACTTCTTTATGTAAGAGAAAATATAAGGGATAGAAATATAGATCAATTGGTATTTAGGAGTGGGAGCAAAAGGTATTTCTTATGAAAGTTGTTATTATTGAATATGATTTTATTTCTTGTGTGTGACTAGTTGGTTCCAGCTCAGTTCTTATGTTGGACAATTTGTTTTATTTGTTCCGTGAGTATAGATCACAACCTGATCCCTATCCAGTTATTACAGATATGTGTGGTTTTTCTTTTTAATCAAGAAAGGATTAGTTGAGGTAAGGTTTATGGATTA